GAGGTTGCTGTGAGCTGTGATGGCATAGCACTCCAGCCAGGGCGACAGCTTGAGGCTCTGTCTCAAAAAAAAAAAAAGATCTAACTCAATGAAGGAGCAAAAAAGGTATACCAGCTCTTCCACCACCTAGGAAAGGCAGGGATGGTCTTTACTTTAACATTTTATAACTGATTTACAGACACCTTAGCTCCTCTCTACAGAGGAGAGAGACCTAGTTCACTAATTAAGACAGTACTTAAAAACCAGTATAGATTCTCTCCATCTGGAGTTCTTGGTAGCTACAGAAATAGCCAAATTGAAAGGTTAGTGAGTACAGCTAACACTGCTCCATGCAGCTTTTTTGTGCAACAATTCCAAGGCCTCTTGCAAGCATTACATTCCTCTGAAGTCAGAACTATCCTCTGCTTTTCAAGTAGGTAATTTGAGAGCCTGAGTGATAGACCTGCTAAGGTTACAAAGAGTTTAATGGTAAGATTAATAAAATGTGAAATCTTGATTCCAACTCTCTTCCACTATCTTTTTGTATATGTAAAATCTTTAAATCTGACCCTTAAGACTTGATAATGAACTTGGCTTTGACAGATTATCCTAAGTGGCCGATCTGTAGTGCTAAGTAGTGCAGCTGATTGATAGGATTTTGAGACTGCTCATTCGAAAATGATAGGAAATCCCAGAGATCCCAGAAGCCTGGAAGCCTGTGGCATTTATGTCTTAATATAGCACTTGGTTTCAACATATTGCACTGCCCATATTCATTCTCCCTGGAAAGAGAAGCTGCTCTTGCTGCATCCTGCTGGATGGCTTTAAAAGGCTGTTCTTTCTCCTTGTAACCCGACCCTCATGTGCTGACATCCAGATCTGTTACTAGAGAGTGAATGTCAGTTCTTGAGAACTCAAGCTACATGTCAATCTTCAATCTCCGGCGTTCCCCTAAACAAGTGTGATATGCAGTAATGGCAAAACCCAGAGGTCAGCCCAGCAGATGGAATTACACACCAACACCAACCCTCTGAAGAGGTGCTCCAAGAGAACGTATCACTGCCACTGGTTCTACTTTTAGATATCTATCAATATCTCCCAAATTGCATTTGACGATTTATACAAATAGACTGATGAACAGAATGTGGGCAGAATTCCTGAGTACACCTGACCTTATGAGCAGAAATGGCACAGTGGCTGAGGCTCCAGAGCCGGACTGCTGGGTTCAAATCCAGATTCAATCCCTTACGTGTTTTGAAATTTTTATTTAAACTCTTTGTTTTCTACCTGTCAAATAAGGATCTTCCTCATGACCATGTGAGGACAAAATGAGACAGCACATATGAAAGGCTTAGAACAACCAGGCCTGCAAAATAGCAAGTGTTACTGCTAAAATAATATTAGAATAATTACAATGGCTAATAAACATTGACCATTTGTGTTACTAAATAACATGTGGAAAAAGAAGAGAGAAACACCCTACCTTTTTCTACATACCTGAGTTACAAACGTCTGATTTACATACCACCCATACTTATAAATGGAGGCTATTACAGGTAAATGTACCTGTTCCAAGTTACATACAGATTCAAGTTAAGAACAAATGTACAAAACCTATCTTGTTCATAACCCGGAGACTGCCTATACTAGATTTCTGTGTAGCTATTCTGATTTAGGTTCCTAACATGAAATTATGTCTTTTGAAAACATTTGCTCTGTACAGCATTAATGATTACCACATAAAAAAACAACAAAAACTCCAATGTCCATGCTGCTCCGGGAAAAAGCCTCAAGGCTGCTACCTAGTATTTCAGGAAAACCTCAGTCATTCTTGGGCCTGCACGACCAGGATAAACCTCAAAGGGAGGCTAAAGCAGCATTTACTTCTTTTTTCTTTTTCTTTTTTTGGAGATGAGGTCTCACCATGTTGCCCAGGCTGGAGTGCAGTGGCTATTCAAAGGCACCATCCCACTACTGATCAGCACCAGCACGGGAGTTTTGACCTGCTCTGTTTCTAATCTGTTTCTAAACCTTCCTTAAGCAACCTGCTAGTCCACCGCTCCCAGGAGGTTACTTTATTGATGTTAACTAGTGTGGAAACCCTGGAGCTCAAGTGATTTTCTTGCTTCAGCCTCCAAGTAAGTGGGACACCAGGCTAGCACATTTACTTATTTTTAAATCATCTTTATGGCTTGAAAAGGCCCCAAATTTAAAATATATGTAAAAACTATTGCCAGCAGAGAAAAGAAAAAAAAAAAACTGATTCAAACATCAAGTCCACGTAAGAAAGGGGCTACTTTCTAAGCATGAGCTGACTTCTAGTGAGTGAGGAAACATTCTTAACTGGCTCAATCAGAAAAAAAAAATCTTTCTACTCGAATTGCTACAGTCGTGGTATCACAAGCAAAGAGTTGACATTTAGTAAGTACTAATGGTCATAACTTAATTTGAAGCAGAAGAGACTTGGTATTTTAAAAAGAGTACTACTAGGCCGTGTGCAGTAGCTCATATCTGTAATCCTAGCACTCTGGGAGGCCGAGGTGAGTGAAGTGCCTGAGCTCATGGGTTCGAGACCAACCTGAGCAAAAGCGAGACCCAGTCTCTAAAAATAGCTGTGTGTTGTGGTGGGCGCCTGTAATCCCAGACACTCAGGAGGCTGAGGCAAGAGAATTGCTTAAGCCCTGGACCAAGGGTAACAAAGTGAGACTTTGTCTAAAAAAAAAATGTACTACTGGATTAAATATTAGAAGAGCAGTCACTCCAGGTGGGAAAATGAGAGTCAACAAAAAACTTTGAGAGCAATGTATAGAAAACACTCAGAACAGTGCACCTGGAACATGGCATGCACTCCGTAAATGCTCACTACCACCATTCTTCATCTCTTGGAAGTTCAGTTCTCCCTCTTACCAAATGGGAGTAATAATAAGTCCCCCATGGGCAAGTCTTGATAAAGAGTAGTAATAACTTCTGCAAAGTCTCTAGGACCTTCCTAGCACACAGAGGTCACTCAACAGCTGCCTAATGTTGTCACTACAAAGCCTCATGCTGGGTGCAGAGAAGGTACTGAGTCAGGTATAGGGATGAGCTGGAGGAACAGCTCAGGTAACATGGGAAACTACTTCAATCACTCATTTAACAAACGTTTGTTTATTACAGGCTTATCATTACGCACCAGGCTTTGCTCCAGGTCTCGGACACCACAGTAAAAATAGTGAAATTTACATTCTAAAGGGGAAGAGAGGCTCAGCACCTGGTTAGGGCACTGGTCACATACACCATGGCTAGTGGGTTCAAACCTGGCCCAGGGCCTGCTAAACAACAATGACAACTACAACAAAAAAATAGCCAGGCGTTGTGGTGGGCACCTGTAGTCCCAGTTACTTGGGAGGCTAAGGCAAAAGAATTTCTTAAGCCCAAGAGTTTGAGGTTGCTGTGAGCTGTGACACCACGGCACTGTACCGAGGGTGATATAGTGAGACTATCTCAAAAATATATAAATATATAAATAAAGGGGAAGAGAAACAGTAAACAGAGAAAGAGACCAATCAGTGGAAACAGGGTACTAAGTGCTGTAATCCCAGCACTCTGGGAGGCTGAGGAAAGTGGATTGCCTGAGCTCATGGGTTCCAGACCAGCCTGAACAAGAGCGAGAACCCATCTCTAAAAACAGCTGGGCATTGTGGTGGGCGCCTGTAGTCCCAGCTACTCGGGAGGCTGAGGCAAAAGAATCGCTTAAGCCCAAGGGTTTGAAGTTGCTGTGAGCTATGATGCCATGGCATTCTACTGAGGGTGAAAAAGTAAGACTCTTGTCTCCAAAAAAAAAAAAAAGAAGAAGCTGAAGAACAAGATGAATGCAGGGTGTAGGGGACTTTCAGGCAGTGTGTGTCTCCACGTCCTCATCCTCTGGAAAGCTCAATTTTGAAAGTCACTTATACCCTTCACACAGATTCCCAGGGTCCTTCCACAGGTCTCCTCCAGAGCAAGGAGACCCAACATGAACAGAGAGGCTACAGTCTGGCTCCTAATTCCTCTCTCACTCAGCCCAAGCTACAAACTCCATTGCAACAGCAACGGCAAACTTCTTTTCTTTTCTTTTTTTTTGAGACGGAGCCTCAAGCTATCCCCCTGGGTAGAGTGCCATGGCATCACAGCTCACAGCAACCTCCAA